TGCATGAAATATAACGTGCGTACGTGAGAGGTATCCACTTATGGTAGCAAAAACAGGAATGCAGATTATCTGAATGGTGATAGATTGGAAAGAGGGAGGTGCAATGAGACCTGGGTGTCCTAGAACAAGAGTCACAGAAAGTAAGTATGCAAGTGCAGTAGGCAGTGAAGCCAAGTAGTACGTTGGTCTTCATAACGAGAGGATTTATGTACAGGAGCAGGGATGTCTTGCTGCAAATATGCTTTGATGAGATCACACCTGGGGTATTATGTGCAATTTTAGTCTCCCTATCAGAGGAATAATGTTCTGGTTACGACGGAGTGCAATGAAGGTTTACCAGACCAATTCCTTTGATGGCAGGTCTGACATATGATGAGAGACTGTATCAGTGAGGACTATGTTCACTGGAGGTTAGAAGGAGCAGTCTTTTTGGGGGGTATGTCTCAGGCCTAGAGAGGATAAATGCAGGAAGGACATCCCCAATAACCAGGGAGTGCAGAACCAGGCTTCATAGTCAAAGGATATGGGATAGGCCATTGAGGACTGAGATGAAGATCAACTTCTTCACCTAGAGAATGGTGATCCTGTAGAATTTTCTGCCTTAGAAAGCAGATGAGGTTAAAACATTGAATGCTTTCAAGGAGTTAGATGTGAAAACAGAAATTTCTAGAAAATCTCAGCAGGTCTGGCAGCATCTGTGGAGAGAAATCAGAGTTAGTATTACAGGTCCATTGACCCTTCTTCATAACCCAACAGGAGAATGGGTTGAATGATCAGCCATGGGCATGTTAAATGGCAGAACAGGCTTGAAGGCCGAATGACATACTCATATCCTTACTTTCTATGTTTCTATCTCTATAAATGACTTAAATGGTGGCTTTACTCTTTGCATATAATACGAAGAATGATTTTTTTTTCAGCAAGGAGGAAGTCAATTATGAACTCTTTAATAGAGAGGTTAGTATTAGGAACGCAGAATGTTCTAATATTTTATGCATCAAGCTCACTGTCAGGAATGTTACACTTTGATGTAGAGCAAAGCTCCATCCGCTCTGTGCCAGCTTACTGCCACAGAGGAGTATTGCCTATTGCAGCTCTACAGAATTTCCATTTCACACAGCAGCAATCTTCCGAATGAGATCACCAATCTAATTCTAAACACTGAACTGTAGATTTACACCAATAAGGACTGAGTTGAGGAGATAGTAGGAACTGCAGATGCTGGAGAATCTGAGATAACAAGGTGTAGAGCTGGAGGAACACAGCAGGCCAAGCAGCAGCAAAGGAGCAGGAAGGCTGACGTTTTGGGCCTAAACCCTTCTTCTCCTCCTACTCCAGCCCCCACTGACAATTCTTTCTCCAGTACATCAATGACATTACCCATGCTGCTTCCCCCTCTCGTCCGGAATTGGAAACGTTTATCAATTTTGTTTCCAATTTCCACCCCACTCTCACCTTCATCTGGTCCATCTCCGATTCCTCGACATCTGTTTCCATTTGAGGATACACCAGCCACCAATATCCACTGCAAACTCACCGATTCCCAGAGTTACATTGACCACACATCCTCACATCCTGTACAGACTTTATCCCATTCTCTTGCTTTCTCCGTCGCATTTGTTCTGATGATGCCAGCTTCTACAAGAGTGCCAAAATGTCCATCTTCTTTCTCAACCAAGGATTCCCCACCATTGTGGTTGACAGGGCCCTCAGCCATCATGCCTTCTCTTTGCTCCAACAACTGCGATAGGCTGCCCCGGTTCTCACTTCTCAGCCCACCAGCATCCACATTCAAAGGATCATTAGCTGTCATTTCTGCTACCTCCATCGGGATGCCACCCAGCCTTCCACAAGGACCGTTCCCTGGAACACCCTGATCCATTCTTCCTCCACTCCCAACATCTCCCCACACCCTCACAGTGCCTTCCAAGCAACCAAAAGTATAAAATCTGCCCATTTACTTCCTCCCTCCTCACTATCCAAGGTCCCAGATTCACCTTCCAGGTGAAGCAGCACTTCAACACACCACTGTGTTCCCTGGAAAACATCTCTGTCTCAGGCGTGCTACAATGCTCCAGCAAATCCCAGCGCGAAGTGGAAGAACAGCATCTCATTTTCTATTTAGGGACCCTTCAGCCTTCATGATTCAATCCTGAGTTCAATAACTTTAGATCTGAATATCTTCTTCCATGTCCTTACCCCAACTCCACTCACCAGGCCTTGTCATCACATGGGCTGCTACCACAACCATCCCATTGTCAGTTAGTAACAGTCCCAATTCGCAGTTGTCGATTCCCCCAGGCTGACCTTTACTATCCAACTCATGTTCTCTCTCTCAGCTTCAGTGCCGCCTATGGTTTATTCTTGCCCTTCCCCCAACCCCATCCTGTCTTTAGCATATACACCAAACTTTTCCTAGCTACAATCAGTTCTGAAGAAGGGTCACTGAACCCAAAATGTTAACTCTGCTTTCTCTTCATATATCTGCCAGACCTACTGAGTTTTCCCAGTAATTTCTGTTTTTGTTTCTGATTTCCAGTAACCACAGATCTTTGTTTTATTTTTGGATAGACTAAGGTTGTTTTCCTTGGAACAGAGGAGCCTGAGGAGGGAGATGATTGAGATGTATAAATTTATGAAAGGAACAGATAGGCTAGACAGGAAGAAACTTTCCCCCTGATGAAAGGATCAAAAACTGGGGGCACAGGTTTAAGATAAAGGGCAGAAAGTTTAGAGGGGATGGGAGGAAAAACATTTTCACCCAAAGTGTGGTGGGAATCTGGAACTTGCTGCCTGTAGAGGTGGTAGATGCAGAAGCCCTCATAACAACATTTGGATGTAAACTGGTGATACCAAGGCAAAAAAGTCTCAGAAAATAGGATTATAATAATTTAGTAGTTGTTTTTGACCAGCACAGACTCAGAGTCATAGGGACGTACAGCACGGAAGCAGACCCTTTGGTCCAACTCGTCCATGCCAACCAGATATCCTAAATAAATCTAGTCCCATTTGCCAGCATTTGGCCCATATCCCGCTAAACCATTCCTATTCATATACCCATCCAGGTGCCTTTTAATTGTTGTAATTATACCAGCCTCCACCACTTCCTCTGGCAGCTCATTCCATACATACACCACCCTCAGTGTGAAAAAGTTGCCCCTTAGGTCCCTTTTATATCTTTCTCCTCTCGCCTTAAACCTATGCACTCTAGTTTTGGACTCTCCCACTCCAGGGAAAAGACCTTGCCTATCCACATCCCTCATGATTTTATAAACCTCTATAAGGTCACCCCTCAGCCTCCGATATTCCAGGGAAAATAGCCCCAGCCTATTCACCCTCTCCCAATAGCTCAAATCCTCCAGCCCCAGCAACATCCTCGTAAAGCTTTTCTAAGTTCTTTCTAGTTTCACAACATTTTCCTATAGGAGGGAGACCAGAATTTTATTCAATACTCCAAAAGTAGTTGAACCAATGTCCTGTATAGCCGCAACATGACCTCCCAACTCCTATACTCAATGTACTTACCAATAAAGGCAAGCATACCAAACGCTGCCTTCACTATCCTATCTACCTGCGACTCCACTTTCAAGGAACTATGAACCTGCACTCAAAGGTCTCTCTGTTCAGCAACACTCCCCAAGACCTTACCATTAAGTGCATAAGTCCTGCCCTGATTTGCCTTTCTAACATGCAGAAGGAGGTTAGAAATTGCAGCAGGATCTTGATCAGCCGGGAAAGTGGGCCGAGAAATAGCAAATGCACTTTAATACAGATACGTGTGAGGTGTTGCATTTTGGAAAGTCAAATCAAGGTAGGAGTTTAATGGTGAATGGAAGGGCTTAAGGAGTGTAGATGAACAGAGGGATCTTGGAGTTCAAGTGCACAGTTCTCTGAAAGTGGAGTCACAGGTAGACAGGGCAGTGAAGGCAGCTTTTGGTATACTGGCCTTGATCAGTCAGGGCACTGAGTACTGAAGTTGGGAAGCTATGTTGCAGTTGTGCAGGATGTTGGTGAGGCCACACTTGGAGTATCGTATTCAGTTTAGGTCACCTTGCTAAAAACTGGAAAGAGTGCAGAAGAAATTTACAAGGATGTTGCTGGGACTCAAGGGACTGAATTATAGTGAGAGGCTGGACAAGCTAGGACCATTTTCTTTACAATGTAAGAGACTGAGGAGGTGATCTTATAGAAGTGTATAAGATTATGAGAGGCATAGATAGGGTAAATGCACTCAGTCCTTATCCCAGGTTTGGGGAATCAAGGACTAGAGGGCATCAGTTTAAGACAAGAGGGAAAAGAATACCTGGGAACCTGAAGGGCAACTTTTTTTTTTACACAGGGGATGGTACACATATAGAATGAGCTGCCAGCAGGAATGGTTGAGGCAGGTACATTAACAACAATTAAAAGGCATTTGGACAAGTACATGGATAGGAAAGGTTTAGAAGGATATGGCCAAGTGCATGGAAATTGAGTTAGTGTGGATGGACGTTTTGGTCAGTATGTACCAGTTTAGGCCTGTCTCTGTGCTGTAGGACTCTATAACCTTACATTTATCTGAATTAGATCCATCTGGCAGTGGCAGATGGACTTTAAGGGCCTTTTTTTGTGCTGTACACTTCTATGACCTCCCACTAAAATATTATACAACATGAAAGTACTTGAATTACTCGATATTTGGCGACTGTCTGACAGACACATCAATCAATCAATAAGGTGTGGGCATTCTCTTAACTTGGTTACTTTGACCTTGGGACGATATGCATTTTATTGACCAACAAATTTTACCTCTTTTCACGGTCACCTCTGACTGCTAGTACTCCCACTAACGAGTGCACTTTGTGCCTCTAAGAAACATACAGCTGTTTCGGGCAACATAACCATAAGTTGTCTATAATGAAGAGCTGTAAGTCATCTCTTACAAAACGACGGGTTAACATAAAACAACATAAAAAGGTTTTCCCCATTCCCGCCGAAAATGACAATCGTTCTGACCTTACCTATCTTACGGCAATATAAACGCACAGTCAGCCAGCAAACATGCATCAGTTTAGCTTCCCAACACAACGTTGACCTTTCACCCTTCCTGGATAAGGCTTGCGCAGTGTCCCGAGGAGCAGCGCCCGTCGTTGGATGGAGGGTACCGCGCATGTGTAGCATGCATTACGCCAACCTCAGGCACAGGCGGGAGGAGGGCAGTGCGCAATTGCGGTGCTTTCGTGCGCGGTCTGAGAACCGGTTCTTAACGGTCGAGTGGTTCGAGGTTCTCTCAGGAGCTGCTTCAACTCACTGCCTTGTCAAGGGACAACACTTTGGACCGCTTATGTTTTTATAAACACGCTTCGAACTTCTTCAACACTAAATGAAACTTGTCTCCTTCCCACCAGCCCAACATAAAGAGGAGAATAAGCTTAGTGTGTTTGAAACTAACGCAGTTTCTAAAAGACCTCGGGGGTGTGGTGGTGGTTTGATTTTTCTGAAGTAAAATGCATTTGTTCACTGTCTACTTCAGAGCAAGGCTACAAAATAACAAGAGGTCGTTACGTTTCTCACAAAAATGGACTGAAAATTCGCAGAAAAAAAATTCAGTTCGGTAGTGAAAACGTAGTCGACACTGCGCTTGCGCTGGCGCGCTCGGTCCACTGGGAGTTGTAGTTCCTGTGTCCCAGAGAGTCCAGTGACGGGGAGTAGGGGTGGCGGTGGATGGGAACTACATGTTCCAGTGGCCTCTGCGGCCCATCCAAACAGCTGTGTGGTGTTAGTCCCCCTTTGCGCTGATGGTGATGATATTAGGGGTTGTGGTTCAGGGGCTAGTAGAGACAAACCATTACGAGAGAGCGAGAGAGAGGGATTCAGCTTCATCACATTGCCCGGAAGCTAGCTGCAAGGAAATCAGAGAGGGAACGAAGACGCAATTCTTCCCGCCCCCCAACCATGGATCCTTATGACCATCATCACCGCTACTGACAGCAGAGATTAGAAAAACAGTTAGGCTGCAGAAATCACAGAGCCCAGCTGCAAACAACACCCCCATCCTCCAACTCAGTGAACACATTGCACATTTTTGAAACACTGCTGAAGGGTAAGTGCTCATGAGCAGGCTCAGTTATACAAGCTGTAGAGTTCCTGTCCATACCTTAGCGTCACGATGTTGCTGCGTTCGGCGGGTTGCAGTTTCTTGATGAAATAAGCGTTTTGTTAACAGTTTCTTCTTCTGACACAAAGGATGCGATTTACAAATGTAGTCTGGTTTTCATTTAGTGGATGTTTTACAGAGGATACAGATTTGTGCGCTGCTCTACGGTAAATGTTCAACTTTCGTCCTTTATATTCTGTCGGATAAGATTTTCTCTCCATAAGGTTTGTTGCAGACCACGCGCAGTATAAAATGACAATTAAAATAAATTCCGAGCGGCATCAACTTTTTCCTACTGTCTACATCGTCTGCAAATTAAAGCAAGTCAACCGCTTGGACCTTTTCTCTTTGGTATCAGCTGTGTTTAGACTTCTAAAACGGTGGATGCGTACAAAGGAAAATAAATAGCAGTCTTTCTTCACATATATATTACCATTTTTAGCGTCTTCTGTAACGTCGAATGCTGCCCCGCAACGGCGTTAAAAATGAAGGTAGAGCATTTACAGACTTCGGATGTTGGAATCTTCGGCTTGCGGGTGCAATATGTACACGTTCCGCAGATCTTTTCTTATACGGTGTCGAGTTTTCTGTGAATGTGTTACATAATTATATTAAAGGTCTAGGTTTTTTTATTTATAAGTTCATAAATGAGCAAAATATAAAGCGGGCATTTCATTTCGTAATTTTGGTTAGCAATGGGAATAGCCATAATACCTCCCAGCCAAAAAAAATTAACTTTATGTTCCAACAAAGTTGTGGTTAACCGTAACCGTTATTTTAGGATTACTGCATCGATCATTTTTCATATGACTTTCTGAAGAACGCTCCCCTGAAAGTATTCTTATGACCATTCTCATGAGTTTTCTTAGGAACTAATAAAATGATCTGCACAATAAATGCAAGCTCGATAACCGATGACATTTAATACACTAAAATGATGCACGTAGGAAACAAAAATGGATACAGCCAAGCATCCACGAATGATGTTGAACTATCTAAGGGTGAAGTTGAATGCATCCAAAAGATTTGGAAGATTCAACTTCCTGACGTGTACGATCACCAAGTGCAAACTGCACAAAATGAACTGTGTAGTCGGAACTGTAGAGAACAAGAAGTCATGTTCAAACTATTGACCACTCCTTCCATGTGAAATAGTGTGAAGTCATGAAATAAAGTTATTTTATTAATCCTAATAATACAAATCAGGAGCAACTTAATATCAGAAGTAGCGTACGAGGTGCTTGGGTAGTTAATTACTCAAATGTCCAAGGTTATAGAGGCTGTTCAAGTATAATACAGTAACAGAGGCGCAAAAATTGGCACAGTCAGGCAGATTCGTTGAGATTATGCCTTGTGTACATCTGACTAGTTGTAGATTTGTAGAGCCAGTCCATTGGATATATTAAAAGTCTGTAGTTAAGGCTACTATTCTTTCTTATGTTTTTGCTTCTGACATATCATTCTGATGAATAAAAACCAGATGAACTGTGGATACTGGGAATCAGAATCAAAAATAGAAATTGCTTAAAAAAAGCTCTGCAACAGGTTCTGAGGAAGGGTCACTGGACCCGAAAGATTAATTCTGATTTCTGTCCACAGATGCTGCCAGACCTGCTGAGCTTTTTCAGCAAGTTATGTTTTTGTTTCATTCTGGTGAATTTTCATCTGGCTTCATAGTTCTGACATCTGCTTTCTCTTGTTCTTTGTTGAACTAAATTTATTTCCGTTTTTAGAAACCGGATGCTTAACAAAATGGTACTCACAACAGCACTGTGTAATGTAGACTGTAAGTTTCACATGTATATTTTATATCATTTGTCATAAGTTTGGAGTTTGAATTAGTGACACTGGTTTTTCTGTTAGAAGAGTTAATGGTTAAATCACCGTGGCTGTAGTGGTGATTTCTTTTTACGACAGCTTGAGGGAGCAGCTTTTAGACCTAATTCGCTTTATTTACATTAGGAGCATTTACAGCTGAGGAAGCTAAGTAATTGTGCTTCAAAGTTACTGTTTGAAAATTCTGGAATTTTTTTAAGTGTCAGGGAAACACACTAATTTGGGTGGGGGAGAGCTTTGTTTTTGTTTTCAGGTTGGGTCAATTCTACAGAAGTCCTTGCATGAAGTTGGAAATATAAAGCAGTGCTCTTAAAGAGTGGAAGGTGTTTGGATAAAACCCTGAAGAGGCTTTTGAAGCTGAGAATATCTTAAACTCTGGTGTAAGAAAACTCCAGAAAAAGGCTATCGATTTTTCCAGACATGGACTTTGAGTCACAGTTAATTGAAGCCTATTGAGGTGTTTTTAAAAAAAAAACTGAAATAAGTAAATGCATTGCTAGTGGAGTTCTCAACTTCTTTGAACTTGTATAACCTTGCTCAGTCAAAATCCTTCTGTGTTTTCTGTAGTTTAATGGTGTTTGCCTCTTGAGTGAAAAATAACATCTTTTATATCTTTTTCTTCTCAAGTGAAACTATTTTCCTGATATGTGTATCTATAACTGGTCAAATTGGAGTGTTCCCTGTGGAAAGTTTGAGTTGGTGTCTTTTGTTCACAGTGCTTCTATTCTCAGCCTGCTTCCTTACCCTGACATCACGGTTCCCTTTTGTCTTCACCCTGTGCCCCACCAGCCTGCCCATTCACCACATCATACATGGCACAGTATCTACAATGTGTTCCAGCCCCAAGCACACCTATCCCTTCCAATTTCGGCTCCTGGATACACTTTTGCAGACATAGAAATAGGAGCAGGACTAGTCTATTTGGCCTCTTGAACCCACTTCACAATTGAATAAGGTCTTAGCTGCTCTACTTCAGGCAAGTATATGAAGGATGGCTACCTGGTTTGAGATATCTGGCTAAATTTAGCCAAGAATCTTAGTTGCAGAATATTGCTGCAGAGGTTCCTCAGGATAGCATCTTTGATACACCTCTTTTTGGCTGCTTGTCCATATCCAAATACAGCAAGATCTGGACAAGAATAAGTCCTTTCGCATTTGGATGTTGAACACTTTTTCTGCCACCTCTGCACCTATTTCTTTAACCTGGAGTCCAATCCACCCTCTACAGACCCCTTCTCCCACCTCCTACAGACCCCTTCTCCCACCTCCAACACACCCCATCCTCCTGGACACCACCCCAAGGCCTCCTACCCTCCCTCAACCTCTTCATCTCCAACTGTCATCGTGACATTGATCGCCTCAACCTCTTCACCCCGGTCACTTACTCCAACCTCTACCCCCACAGAATATGCAGTCCTCTGCTCCCTCCACCCAAACCTAGCCTCACCATCAAACCCGCAGATAAGGGAGGCGCAGTTGTGGTATGGCGCACTGACCTTTACATAGCCGAGGCCAGGCGCCAACTCTCTGACATCTCATTCTACCGCCCCTTTGATAATGACCCACTCTGACCACCAAAACATCATCTCCCAGACCATCCATAAACTTATCACCTCAGGTGACCTCCCACCCACAGCCTCCAACCTAATCGTTCCCCAACCACACACCACCTGTTTCTATCTCCTTTTCAAAATTCACAAACCTGATTGCCCCGGCTGACCCATTGTCTGTGCCTGTTCCTGCCCCGCTGAACTCAGCTCCGCTTACCTTGACTCTTTTTTTCTCTCTTCCCCCCCCCCCCGTCCAGGAACTCCCCACCTACATCTGGGACACTGCCCATGCCCTCCACCTCCTCCAGAACTTCCATTCCCTGGTCCCCAGTACCTCATCTTTACTATGGACATCCAATCCCTGTACACTTGTATCCTCCACATGCATGGCCTAAAAGCCCTCAACTTCTTCCTCTCTCGCAGGCCTAACCAGTTCCCCTCCACTGACACCCTCATCTGCTTGACTGAACTCGTTCTTACCCTTAACAACTTCTCCTTCAACTCTTCCCACTTCATACAAACTAAGGAGGTGGCCATGGGCACCTGCATGGACCCAAGCTATGCCTGCTTCTTTGTAGGATATGTAGAACAGTCCCTCTTCTGCTGCTACACTGGCACTATCCCCCATCTCTTCCTCCACTACATTGACTGTATCGGCGCTGCCTCGTGCTCTCACGAGGAGCTTGAGCAGTTCATCAACTTTACTAACACCTTTCACCCCAACCTGAAATTCACCTGGACAATTTCCGATACCTCCCTCTCCTTCCTGGACCTCTCTATTTCCATCTCTGATGACTGCCTTGTAACCGACATTTATTTCAAACCCACCAACTCCCGCAGCTACCTAGACTACACCACTTCTCATCCAAGAATGTGATCCCCTACTCCCAATGCCTCCGCCTCCGCCACATCTGCTCCCGAGATGGGGCATTCCGCTCCCGAGATGGGGCATTCCACTCCCGCACATCCCAGATGTCCTCTTATTTGAAGGACCATTAGTTCCCCCCCCTCTGGTGATTGAAAATGCCCTCAAACACATCTCTTGCGTCTCCCACACCTCTGCCCTCACATCGCCTCCCCACAAGAAAAACAAAACTAAAGACAGAATCCCCCTTGTCCTCACACCCCACCAACCTCCACATCCAACGTATCATTCTCCGCCACTTCCACCACCTACAATCCGACCCCACAACTAAAGAGATATTTCCCTCCCCACCCCTATCTGTCTTTCGTAGGAACCATTCTCTTCGTGACTCCCTCGTCCACTCCACACTCCCCACTAACCCCACCATCCCCGGCACCTTTTCCTGCAAGCGCGGGAAGTGCTACACCTGCCCCTACACCTCCCCCCTCACCTCCATTCAAGGCACAAAACAAACTTTAGACATCAGACATGGGTTCACCTGCGCATTTGTCAACTTGGTCTACTGCATCTGCCGCACCCAATGTGGCTTCCTCTATGTCAGTGAGACCAAGCGGAGACCTGGAGTCCATTTTGTAGAACATCTGCGCTCTGTATGTGACAAACAACAACAGCTGCCAGTTGCAAAACATTTTAAC